CAAAGTAACCCTTCTAACAATGATAGTTCTAGTCAATATACTTGATTAGTAAGGATATTCTAGGAAAGACAATACCAATTTAGGACAAATAACTAACTCAACTTACTTCCTTAATCTTTTCAAATTAGTCAACTAGGTCTTATAATTAAGACCGGAAGTAGTAAGTGTTTTCAATTTTTTTTAAGGAATTATAAAAATATTCTCTTAAAATTGGAGGGTGCCGTAACGAAGAAGCAATAATGAAAAGACATGGAAGATCCGATCTAACCTCCACACAAAAGGGAACATCTTTTTGACCCAAGAACCAAAATATCCAAGCCTCTTACTATCAAAAAATATCCGAGCCTCTTCATGAGTTTACCAAAATGCCCTTCCCTTACCACTCTATTTACGCCCCTGATGGCTACGTGTATTATCAAGAACTTTGAAGGATTAAAAATAAAGTAGGAAAAAAACAATACAAACTATAAAAAGATAATTTAGTTTATGTATAAATGTAACGGCTATATAATTTATGTGCAAACTAGAAATTTTTCTCCTATCTACAGATTAGCATATTTGATTAGGTTTAAAATTCTAATAAATTATATTATCTACTGTAGCTCAATATTTACTTGTTATAGGAGTATGATTTTTTATTCATTCAAATAGAATTTGAATTAGAGATGCAGAATTTAGAAAAAAAAATTTAAATTATTTATTTATTTCTCTATTTAAGCCTCCAATTTCCATGCTGTCTAATTATGATACTCTACGTTTAATACAATATATTCAAATCTCAATTAAAATATTATTCAAATTCAAAATTAATTAATAATTTCTTCATTTGAGCCTCCAATTAAAATTTTATTTATTTATAATGTTTCCTATTTAATTCAATACATTCAAATTTCGATCAATATGTTATTCAAATCTCATTAATTGAATATATTCAAATCTAATAATATCATACCTGACCCATTTTCAAACTAATCAGGTATTATAGTTGATAATTGATTGATATAACAAGCATAAGATTTAATTTGAATCGCATGAATACGGAAAAAAAAATTTTTTGCGTTAGTATTGATAAATCATATTATTACCTCTTTATTAAATAAATAAACATTGAAAATATTAAGAGCTGCACATATATAAAACTTTCCTGCAATGATTTAACAATTTGGATGTTCATAAAAAAGAGCAGATGGAATCTACGAGAATATTATAATATTACTTTTATGCGCAATCATTATTTTTGAGAAATAAATAAATTGTTGTTGACTGAAAATACAAAAAAGGGCTGATTGGTCAAGTGGGTGTGGATATGAAATTAAAGCGTTTAACAAAAAGGACAGGCCCCCTATGATTAATGAAGAATGCCCCCCTATGGGCCATCCTATTGACTTCCTTTATTTTAAAAGGAAAAAAAATTAGTAATATCTAAATAATAATAATGACGACAATGATAATAATCTACACATTATATATGAGGAAAAGCTGCATTATTTATTTTAGGAAACACCGATTCATTTGAATTAAAAAAGGTGAATGAAAATTGAGAAAAGTTGCATCATTTATGTTTTAATTTGTTAAAAATAGACACACACTTAGAAAGACTATACATTTGAATCTTGTGATTGTACACAATTTTGGATCAAGGATACTCAGTACTTTTGGATGGAAAGAAAGTTAGGGAGAAAAGAATATTAAAAAAGTATTTGGATGAAAATAAAATCATGATTTTAAAAATAATTTTATAATATGCGAAAAGCATCTTAGAAGAGTTTTATTTCGACTTATTTGAAAACACTTTTTGAAAGTATATTTTTTGTTTAACCAAACACCTCCCAAATATCTAAAATAGTTTTTTTTTAATGTGCTTAAGAGTTTTTCTTCATAATATTGTCTCATATTTTCCTCCCACATTTCTCTCCATCTAATTATCCTAAGTTTTAACCTTTTAAGTTGTTTTTTTATTAAAAAAAAAGAGGAATTTTGGGGAAAAAAATCACCACTTGAATAATTGCAATTTTTTCTATAAGAATTTCTAATAGAAAAATCATAATGTGATTTTAAAAAATATATAATTATTGAAAAGTTTTATAATAAATGAATGACAAATTTTATATTATTTAAATTTTATGTGTGTTTATATTCTTTTCTCAGGATCATAGTTTCCTTTCTAATAGCCTATGAAGCTAAAATAACCAATTGTGTATTTGAATGTTCGGTAATATTGGTACTTGTTTTCTACATTTCATATTAAAACGAATTGATGTTATTATTAATGATAATGATGTAAACGTCGCATAAGTAGATGGGTGGCGATGAGAGATTGTAAGAGGAGACAGCAATTAATGCCCACTAATATATTAAATTAAATTCCTTTTCTATGCCAACATTAAATTAAATTCCTTGAACTACCTAATTTAATTAAACAACCCTTGAATGTAAAAAAAAATGAATTAATAAAGAAAACATCTTCTGCCCAAAAATCAATAAAAAAATACCTTATGTTCGTATACTGAAAAGATAAGAAGCAATAAAAGATAAAAGTTGCTGGCAAAAAAAATAATAGATAAAATATTAATTGAAATTCGTTTTTTACTATACACTCCTATGTGTCGAATCAATAAAAAGCGTGGCGTAAAATAGTAGAAGTGGAAACTCACGCTTTGCATTTACGCTTTTCTATTTTTTTATTTTATATAAACTATTTACTTATTAAATACGGAAGAACAATGATTGTATAATATTTAAGGGGTATTTGGAAGGGTATAAAAGTACTTTTAAAAAATACTTTTTCGTAAATCAAAACAAACTCTTTTATATATTTGTTTTGTAACTCGTAAAATTACTTTTAAAACGATGATTTTATTTTTATCTAAACACTTTTTAAACAAACTTTATAAAAGTAGTAATAATTAAGCAATGTTTGTATAATATTTTAGCAAGCTTTATAAAGGCAGTAATAGTAGGTTGGAGGAAAAAAAAAAGAATAGTTAAGATTTAGTCAAAAATTAAAAGCAGTAGTTAGGAATTTTAAAAACTAAAATTATTGCCTATAACTATAAAAAATAAAAATAAATTAACACAGAAAATTTTTTTTTCAAAGTAGCTATTTATTTATTTTTTAAAAAGCCGCCGTCATGGTTAAGAAATTACCTTTTTAATAATTCACAATGGTCAAATTTGATAAAGTTTGAATCTTTGTTTAATATTTTATTAATCCATACCAAACACCCATAGATTGAGAGCCAAGTTTGCCGCCAAAGCGTGAAAAGTGCAAAACCTAATCCGAAAAGAAAAAAAGAAACTTTTAAAAAAACATCAATTTGTCCAGCTCACCCAGAGACGATGCACTTTTTGGACAAAGTTCAATCACACTAGGACGATGAAATTAATAATTCAATTTTTTTTTAACATTAAAGAAACAACATCAGCAATCACATGGACACAGATGGATAGAGCGAGAAAGTCGTATGAATCAACGTGAATGTGGAGTCCTGTGCTGTGCCTTGCCTGTAGGTTGAGCAGTAAACACCGTTCTTTTCCTTCTTCTTCTTCATGTGAGTGAGGGACCGATAAAAAGGAAAGGCCTAACCTTTTCCCTTTCACCGAGAAAAGGACTTTGGCCCCACCTGCATTATATATCTGTTTTTTAACTCTCTGCGATGCACTTTTTATCGCTTTACTTCTGTCACGTTACCTATATACAAATTATAAACATACACATCACCACAAAAATCCCAATTCCATTATTCTCACACCTCACACCTGCACACCCACTTCCCCATAATCTAATCTACACATCCTCCTCCAATTCATATCTATCTGAACAGAGCAGAGGAGAGAGAGAGAGGAGAGAGAGAGAGAATCAGCAGTGTGTTGTGGCGAAAAAGTCCTGCTTCTACTTCTTCTAGGGTTGTTCTTCCCTTTGCCTTCTAATATTTTATATCTTAAATCTCTGAAAAAGAAGTACCCTTTACCGATCTTGTCTTCTCCCTGCCTTTCTTGCCTTGAGGTAATTTCCCCCTCTCTGTTCTTCGCCTTTTTGCTTCTATCTTTCTTCTGTGTATTCGTTGTCACTGCTGTTCGTATTTTTCTGGGTTTTTGAAAGGAGCGGAAGGGGTAAGAATTTACGATTTCTCTGGTTATTGGATAAGATTTGGTGGTATTTGATGCTGTGTTATAGATGTTTCTAATTTTCTGGTCATTTAGAATTGATCTGCTTTTTGCAACCGATCCCTTAGCGTTGATGTTTGGGAAGCTTGCTTGAAAGATCAGGTTGAATTTTTAATTCAGTGAGACTTCAGCTCGAATTCTTGATGATGATGAAAATGTCCTATTTTGAGGTGAAAAAGGTGTTTTATTCCTGTGCTTAAAAATGATAATTCATCCACATCAAATTCCGTTGAAGCGTAAAATGTTTCCCCCCTCTAAATCTGAAGTCATATTGTCTGTGGAAGTCCTTCACAGGAATCAATATAATTATTTTCTTAACTATGATTTACAATCGATTGTCTAGAAAGTATCATTCTCTCTTTCCACAGACAGTTTCTGCGGAAATCGTTTTTGTGGTTTTCTTTTCAAGTCCTCCACCTTTTTGAAAAATAATTCGGATACTTTTAATTTTTTTATACTTACAAACACAAACTCTTCATTCTCTGTTTTATTTGGGGTTATCGGCTGCAACTTCTATATTGTAACCTTTTTCTGTCTTAGACCATGACACCGTTCCTATGTTTAATACTTTAAGTTTGAAATCGTACGTATTTCTTTTTTCTCTTATATTTATATTGCTAACTAAATTGCTTCTTGGCAGCAGTAGAATTTGCAGCTTCAAATTTTTGGCACATTGTGGGAGTTCTTTTGAGTTGCAAGAGACAACAAAATTCTGCTTCATTGACTCAGGAAACAAAGACAATTTTGTTTGGTCATCCGATATTGCTGTTGGATAGAGGTTTGCTAATTGAAGAATTCTTTCTTTAGATAGCAACCTAAGAGTCATCTTAAAGATGGGTTATATATGTGACTTCTGTGGAGATCAGAGGTCCATGGTGTACTGCCGTTCTGATGCTGCATGTCTATGTTTGTCATGTGATCGGAATGTTCATTCTGCTAATGCTCTTTCTAAGCGCCATTCTAGAAACCTTTTATGTGAGAGATGTAATGCACAACCTGCTCATGTACGGTGTTCTGAAGAGAGGATTACGCTATGTCAGAACTGTGATTGGTTAGGTCATGGTCCCACTACATCTTATTCAACACATAAGAGGCCAACGGTCAATTGCTACTCTGGCTGTCCTTCAGCAGAAGAATTTTCTTCAATATGGCCATTTGTCTTGGATATCCCCTCTATGCGTGAAACTACCTGTGAGCAGGAACTAGGTTTGATGACCATTAATGAGAACAGCAACAAGAGTGCCTGTGTTCCTCCAGAAAGCCAGAATTTATCTGGTTCTGCTCAAGTAACTGATTTGCAAAGCTTTGACAAGTCTTGGGTTGGTGCCTCTGCCATACCTGAGTCAAGCTCAGAACGTCGTATTCTAGGGCCATCAACTGGACCTACCAAGGAGTGTTTGCCCAAGGTATTAACCCAAGACCATATTATCAATTTAAGTATGAGCACCACAGCCAGCATTTGCTTTGTTCGGGAGCCTTGAGGGAAATCAGTTCTTTGTCTGTTTGTTTGTCGTTTTGATTTTTTTAGTTCCTGCATAGTAGTGATATTGCAGTTTTATACATTGCTTTGCTTTGGTTTTTTCTACCAACTCTTTCATTGAAGATATATATGTGGAATTAACAAAAAGTTTGTCTCTCCTGTTATTTTGGTGACTCAAACTCAACTGGGTACACTTGGTCAAATTTTAACCTATTTAGTGCATGCCAGTACCCAATTTTGTTGGGCAAGCAAACTGTGCCTCTAAGGACCAACTTGCCAATGAAGGATGTCACAAAATATTGTTCCTACATATGACCGAATATCATACTGTCTCCCCCCCCCCCCCCTCTTCCTTGGGTAGGTTGAAGGGGTGCAAGTAATTTGACTGTGTGCTTTGAGATGGATCCATTTAGGCTACTGTCCTTAGAGGCAAACTGTGTCTCTAAGGACCAACTTGCCATGAAGGATTTCGCAAATATTGTTCCTACATATGAGTGAATATCATATTGTCTTTCTTTCTTCTTCCTCTTCTTCTTCTTTTTTTTTCCCCCCTGGGTTGGGTTGAAGGGATGCAAGTAATTTGACTGTCTGCTTTGAGATGGATCCATTTAGGTTACTGCAGTAGTGTAGGGGGGTATCATGTCTTGCTGAGTAAAATTGCATGATCCATTTTAGGGTTGCAGGACGTTCTCTCTCGACGGGTGCAAACTGTTTCTCAAATGTTTGTTCATGGATTTCAATGACAACGGATGGCATTTGATTTCTTTGTGGAAGATATATTTGTATAATTACCCGTGTAGCTTATAAACATGATAGTTGCTCCTTACCTGGTATGCCTTTCAATTATTGCCAATTATTTATATGGTTGACTGAAGTGAATTACATGTTTTGTAGCTTCTTATGGTGAAATTCTTGTAGCCTCATTTATTCACTTCACTAATCTTTTGCATTTAATATGTAGTTATATTGTCCCAGTACAAAAGATCCTGTGCCATATGAAAATGAAGATGATGATTTGTATGGTGATTTTGACATGGATGAAGTGGATCTGAGTCTCGAGAACTATGAGGAACTTTTTGGTATGACTATTAGTCATTCTGAAGAACTCTTTGAAAATGGTGGAATTGATAGCTTGTTTGGGACAAAGGATGCGTCTGCTGCTGATTCCAATTGTCAGGGATCTATTGCTGTTGAGGTAGTCTATTTTATTTTCCTCTTCGTCTGTGATGGCCTTTTTTTTTTTTTATTTAATCAATGAAGCTTCTTCACTTGATTTCCATTTAACTTTGATCTATCCTACAGTGGGTGTTTTCTTTAAATAATATGAGAAAACTGAACCATTCCATATTCCCATTACTTTTTGATATTGACTATAGCTTTTGATCTACAGATTCAAGCTTCAAATTTAAAATCTTAATGTGATTGGTATTCTTTACATATAATGTTCTAGTGCATCCGCTCGTGTAAATTCTTGTTTGCCTGCATTCATGATTAAAAATAGGCATATAATCTTTGGTTGACTCCTTGCTTTTATCTGATAAAGGATTTAGGTCACTCTGCACGTTTTTTGCCCTCATCTCTTTTTGTTGAACTTTGAGGTTTTGGCACTTTAATTTGATTTTGGTCTGTGCTGAATATGCATGTAAACAAATTGAACTCATGAAGAGCATTTTAAACCTGTACTGTATTTTCTATCTTCTGAGAATCACTATCGTAATATGAGGGGAAAATATCACGTGGAGGTCTGAACAGTGATATGCCTGGTTGTTTGCAACCTTCAAACTTCAATTAATAGCGGTCATGTGATAGGAAATGGATAAATAATGGGAACATCAGTATTTTGGATTACGAGGGTGTTTGGAACACCTCAAAAGCACTTTTCATAAGTACTTTTCTGCAAATCGAGGCAAACTCCTCTACATATTTATTTCGTCGTAAAAGCACTTTTAAAACTATGGTTTTGTTTCTATCCAAACACCCATGTACATCAAGTAATTTACGAAATAGTATGATGTTTAGTTTGCCTATTTTAAGGATTGACATACTTTTGGATTTTGTTTAGCTGACTTGAATTATATGACATTTTGACTTATTTATTTTTTCCTCCTTTCTCTGTCCATATTCTACCTCAGTACTTTGTCTGCTTTATCTCTCTGCCTTTTACTTTTCTCTTTGCTTCCTTCCTCTTAGTAACTGTGGAGAGACATGGATGGCAAAATTGGGGGGGGGGGGATCTCTTGCTTCACTGTTGTGTCTAGGCTTTTTCATGTTGCAGACTGTTGAACATGGGCCTAAATTTACTCAGTACAAGGGAAAACCCAAGGTTTGAATACAAGTGCATATCATGTTAGTGAGGGGTTTTAAGTATTTCTTAATCGGTTCAGTTTTGCTGTGTTTGTTCCATCAGAGACTCCTGTGAAATTGAACAAGATAGATGCTAGGGTTGAGGGGTACTATAACTCTGCATTCCTGTCTGGTCTTTTAGGGAGAATGTTGATGGAATAAGTGCCCAATTATTTGGTGAGATTGAAAAGAGTAACTTAGATCGTAAAATCAAAAAGATTCCTATTTGTGTACAAGTCCCTGTTGGATAACTGAGCTTGTGACTAATCAGGTTAGGATTGGATACTTGGATGATGTGGTTATTTGTGTATTTTCCTTCCATATGCTTTTATTTTTTTCCCTTTAAATAAATAGCATGCAAATCAGTTTGAGCAATAAGATGGTCAGTTGTTCACTGTTCAGCATTAAGTTCGGTCTCATCCTTGTCATGTAGAACTCATGCTGGAAAGAACATGTTTGTGTGGGCTGTGTTAAATGGTGCAGTATTTGTTACATTACTTAATAGTCAGAATGTGTCCAGGGTTCATCGGCTGGACTGGTCAACGCGGTGCAACCAGCATACAGCAATGCAGCATCTGCAGATTCTACTGTGAGCGCCAAAACTGAACCGATTCTTTGTTTTGCGGGAAAGCAAGGGCAATCGAATCTCTCTTTTTCTGGGGTCAATGGAGAGAGTGGTGCTGGAGATTATCAAGACTGTGGTGCCTCTTCAATGCTTCTCATGGGGGAGCCTCCTTGGTGTCCTCCTTGTCCTGAGAATTCAGTACAATCTGCCAACCGCAGCGATGCTGTCATGCGTTATAAGGAAAAGAAGAAGACACGCAAGTAAGCATATTCCGATGAAAATCTATGAATATGATAATTCTGGTGCAACTTCATGCATGGTTGAGAATAAATTACAGTGGTCATAAATCCATAAGCAAGTTTTGTAGATATTCTGGTCATAAACTGTAAAGATCAAGCTGAAAATTGAGTGACACACTGGGGGTCATCATGATTATTTGAACTTGGAAAAAGGAAAAGAAATAAGCTTTCTGATTAGAACTTCTTTCTCAGCACCTGTGGTTTGTTTAGCAAGTTCACTGATGAGGCAAGTAGTGTTCCTTGCTAAATTTTAGTGTAATACCCTACATCTATATCTTACATGATGATGTTTTGTGTAAAGAACCTTTCAAATTGTTATGATGCTATAGTTATTTAGTTTACTCACCTTACAACTTTTGCTTCTTCAGCTGTATTTACTCACCTTACAAACTTCCGCTAGATGATTGAAATGAATTGTGGTTCCCTTTTTAGGTTTGACAAGAAAGTGAGGTATGCCTCTCGCAAGGCTAGAGCCGATGTCCGAAAGCGCGTGAAGGGCCGGTTTGTCAAAGCTGGGGAAGCTTATGATTATGACCCTTTGAGCCCGACCAGAAGCTACTGAGTGTACAACTTTTAACTATCCTCTATAAAAGGAAAGAACAATCATATAGCTGCAAAACAAAAATGTTATCCTTACCTCAGAAATCAAACACAATATCTGATGCATTGTTCTTAGACCGTTCAATGACAAACTATCTGGTTTGATCACAGGACCTAGACTTCTCTTCGAGGGAAAAAAGGAACATAAACGAGGTGGTCCGATGCTTCCAGACATGTAAGCTCCGGAGCGGACTCGGTGACTGTTCTTCACTCTTGAAGGGTATGCAAGATGTAATGTGAACTCACAATATCATATGCACTGCACACCTCATAGGCAATAGGTTCTTATTGCCTCTCTGTTTTAACTCCACAAATCACGCCAAAAAAAAGCAAAAAAGAATCCTCCTTCTTCAGCCTTAGTCACCCCCCGGGTTTGTCGACACATTCTATTTCTATTCTTCTCTGGTGTAGTCATAATGTTATAGACAAGCCTGCCTGTGGCATTATACTATAAGTAGCTCTACTTGGTAGTTGTAGACAAGCTACAAGGTTGTAAGTTGTAATGTTATTTTTGGTTCCTTTTTTTGCTTTGATCTGTACAGCAGATTATGCAGTTGAGGTATAATTGCAGAACAGGGGCTGGGGTTGGAGAAACTGTAAATTCAGTGGACATGTATAGAGTAGGATGAGATGCTACATCATATGCTTATAACATGGAACATGGAACATGGAACAGTCTACAGAAGACTTGTACTGAATAACTAATAAATATGGGAATAATCTACATTATTTATGACTTTTAAATAGTGTGGCTTTTTTAAATATAAAGGAATACTCCAATTTGTATTTTTCCTTTCCATTCGTTGATTATTGATTGAATCACTTGAACCGGGATGCTTGAACGGAGCCTCTCTCTTCAATTCTATTTTACTAGTTCCTGCGTACTTTCCTAATGATTGCATTCCAATGATGATGTACTCCTCTGGTCCTATAAATTATACTAGAAAATGGGTTTTATATTTAGGATCAGAAGGAGTATTTTATTTGATGGATCAAAACATTTCCGTAGAATAATATTAATTTGTGGAAATTAAAAAATTAATTAAATTAATTATTTGTTAAAACGTGGATTGACTTTCTTAAGGTATTTTTTTTTGTTTACTATTCTCTGTATAATTTTTTTTTAAATATGCTCAATTAATAGGAAGGGTTTAGGAAAAAAAATTATAAATTTAAGACACAAAATGGATAGAAATCTTACATTTAAAATTAAGATAATTTTTTATTAGTTCTTACATCAACAATTAAACGTTTCTGCGATTGTATGTTTGGTCCGTGTATAATTTGTTGGTTTTGATTGATTAATGAAGTTAAGAACTGTTGTCACGATGTTTCTTTGAAATTGACTTGACTTTGACATGATCTCATGCTATTAACATACAATTAAATCAATCTATTTGTTTATTTGCCGGAATGAATCAATCTAATTGGATAGGTTAAATTCGATCCAATTAATCAACTAAACTAAGTCGCTGTTATAAGATACTGCTTCCCGTTTGATATTTAATTTGATCTTAAATATAAGATTTTAATTCACTTTATCTCTTATATTTATTTTTTAAAAAAAATATTTCTTATAGAAGTTGCACATGTTAAAAGTTTTATCAAATAGTAGTTCTAACTAATACACATGATTAGCAAAGATATCTCATAGAAGACGATTTCTATTTATTACAAATAAATAAATAAAGTTTTTTTTAAAATCTATTTAAATTAGTTAACTAGTTTTTATATTGAAAGAATCGGAGATAGTAACTTTTTGTGTGTCTAACATAAATTTAATTTTAAACCATGTGAAAAAAAAAGTTAAGATTTTTAGAAATGGAACAGGGATATGAGATATTTTAGTTACACAAGGGATAATAAAATTTAAATTGGCTGGTAATATGATGAGACGTTATTGGAGTTCGGATAGAGAGAGCAAAATTGGTGAACAGAGATCTGATTTGGATAAGATTTTGTTTTGTTTTGGGGTTGGGATAAAGGCGGAGTCCAGATTCGAGGAAACGGCATGCACATGAAACCAAAATTCCATGTGATTCTTGGATTCAACACGTGTCATATTCTAATCCCTCACCAACCCCCCTACTTTTAAAAAAAAAAAAAACCACAAAATGAGATTTTTATCTTAAAATCTTGGAAAAAAAATAAATCAATCAAAAATTAACAAAAGAAATCGCGCGAACATTGGAAGACAACAAATGTCGACCTACTTAAACTTATTGTCACAAATAGGGTCTTAGTATAACAACCAGTAAGAAGTGAATTTAATTTTAAATATAAAACCTTAATTTATTATTATTTTTTAATTCAAATTAATTGTATTAGTTGCATATGTTAAAAGTAGTTTCAATCTAAATGATTTAAGAGAGTATTTAAAAAAATAACACATATTTTTGACAAATAATAAATTTAACTACTTTTTTTAATTCATGTAAATTAGTTAAATAAATCTTATATTAAGAATTGGAAGTAACATGAATTTTTTTCCACATAAAATTTCTTCATGCTCAACTCACTTGTGAATACTCGCTCTCATACTAAATGTAGAAATCAAATACTCCTTCGGTTCTTAATATAAGACCCATTTAACTAATTTGATTAGATTAAGAAAGTTAGATAAGTTAGTTAATTATAAGAAAAGTGACACATTTTTCCTAAAATACCATAATCATCTTTCTTAATATCTCATCTCCCTCTTTTACTTGATTATAGTTGAGGGAGTATCCATAAGGGTAATTTAGAGAAAATTGATAAATATGAGAAATGGATCTTATATTTAGGACCAAAACCGATTCAAGAATTGGGTCCTATATTAAGGATCGGAGGAGTAATTAATTTACAGAAAGTAAGAAGATCGATCAAATTTAATATTTTATATATAATAAACAAGTGCCGATTTCCTCAAAAGCAGTCAGTAAGATTATTTTGGGAAAAAAAAACATAAAACAGAATTGATTAATATTTTATACTTAAGATCAAAATAAATTAGTTAATTAGTATTTATATTTAGAACTGAAAATAAGGTATAGATTAGACACACAGAAACACGTGAAGGGTGTGAAGAGAAAGGGCTACATGATGAGGAGATTGAGGGAGAAATTAGGTGGGGATGGAATATGTTATAATGGACAAAGTGGAAAGCAAACAAAAGAAAAGGAACCAATAATGGCTTATTGTCTCACCAAGTGATAACACGCGCGTGACACTTTAAGACATTCACGTACCCACTCTCTGTACTTGTTTGTGTTATGTGGCATTCCTTGTTTGGAGATTTGATTTCAATGGCGAGTGCGAATCATAACGTGTTCCTTTACACCCATCTCATATCTCGTGTTTCCTTTTTAAATCCTGTATCTCATGCGATACTGTGACCATCATTTTAATATAAAAAAATCCTTGGAAATATAGTGAAAAATGCCTTATTAGAAAAAAAAAAAAGAATTACAATCAAATCCTACATAAGAGAAATAATTACTAAAAAGTTCTAATAACGACCTCAACAGCCTATAATGACAAATCCTATAGTGAGAATGATAACTTCTGGAATTTGTTTTTTAATTGTTTTCCTTGTTTAGGACCTCATTGTAATTTTCCCATTAGAATATTACTTGTATAAAAACACTTGAAAATTGTGAAAGCATCAAAGTGTAATTTACTTCTAGAAGAAGCAGCTCCTTTTTGGTGATATGCAACTTATTTCCAAACTGCTATCTTCCATCTTTAACACAAAATCTAGTTAATAATGTAATTTAATCAATTTTTATAAAGGAAAATGACCAGAAAAATCTTGAAAATAGGAAATTCCAAAAAAAAAAGAAGAAGTTAACACTTCTAAATGATAAGGAAAGAGAAAAAGCTTAAACTGGAATTATAGAAATGCGGGGCAATTATCCATATGTCAGTTTAAGAAAATGAATGGATTTGATATGAAAATAACAATATTGCAACATAGATTAATAAGTTTAGAATAGATAATAGCAACATCCTTTCCTCAGGTGCAAGCATATGTCCATTTGAAAAAATAACTATGGGGTGTTTAAATAAAAACCAAATCATAATTTTAAAAGTGCTTTTACCGTTTATGAAGTAAATATGTGGAGGAGTTTGTCTCATTTTACGAAAAAGTAGTATAAAAATAACATCTATTTAGGACAAATAACTAACTCAACTTACTTCTTTAATCTTCTCAAATTAGTCAACTGGCTCTTATAATTAAGACCAAAAGTAGTATAAAAATAACAAGATTAAAATATGAATTAGCAAGGTCAGAAAACAAAATAACGACTTTCTTTTATGAGCATCACACAAAGGCATATTGATTATTTTCTCATATTTTCATAATACTAGTTCAGGCTTTTCCTTCTTTTTTGTCGTTTGTTGGAAGTGTTAACTGACTTTTTTGAAATTTTCTATTTTCAAAGTTGTTTCGAATTAAAACTAGTGACGAGAATTGGATAAACCGAGGACTGCACCGGACCACCTTGACATGACGAAAGAGAATCAGATAACAAGTGTGTGTACACTTATTAAATAGAGGTATTTTTTAAAATATTTGCTGGGGATGAGGTTTTTCCATTTTAAATGCTCTGCACAAAAATTTAGGATATATCGAAGTGTTTTTCTGTAGATAATTAGAGGGCAAAATTGCCTTTAACCTTGCTATAAACGGAATACTACCATATCGTTGTTGGTGACTAAGAGAGAAAAAAAGATAAAAGATAAAAAATTTGGATAGGGTAAGAAGAGATTAAAAAATAAGGAGAATTATAATAAGATTTTAAAAAATAAAAATAATTATAAAATAAATTATAGAGGCTGTTATTTTTTACTCTAAAATCTATTATTCTAAATCTTATTGTTACATATTATTGAAATTGTTATTAAAATTTATTAGTAATTATTTTTTTTTTGAAACCCTTAAAACACAAGGGAAGGGAAAGGGACGCGACTTGAAAGCAGGGAGAGGGGCAGGGAACAGGTGTCACGAGTATGGTTAAAACAGGAAGATGGGTTTTGGTTATAAAAGCGACACGTATGGATGTGTGGGGAGAGTCTAATGATGTACTTATCCATAGTGGGGACCCCTCTCAGATGCCCAATCAACGATTCGTATCTTCTGCACTCGTCAGACTCTGCTCATCATCTGCACCGCCAGATCCATCCATCCACCCACTCGTCTATAATACTAATACCGCTTCATATGTTAAGAGGGTGTTTGGATAGAAACCAAATCATAGTTTCAGGTGCTTTTACAGATTATGAAGTAAATATGTAGAGGATGTTACCTCGTTTTGCAGAAAAGTGATTCTGAAACCTAGGTTTTGGTTTTGCCAAACACCCCCTAAATCTCTTCATAACTTTTGAGGCCCATTCACCACACGTCATGCTTCACGGAGTATTTGAATAGAGTTAAAATTATGATTTTAAAAATATTTTTACAATGTACAAAATAAATATGTGAAGAAGTTTGTTTTGTTATGTAAAAAAGTATTTTTATATGCTTTCAAAGACCCTTTTAGTATAAAAGGGGTGTTCAAAAACGTTTTTCAGAAATATTTTTATATAAACTGAAACAAATTCTTTTATATATTTATTTCGCATATCGTAAAAGTACTTTTAAAATTATGGTTTTGTTCTTATTCAAATACTCTCAAAATCTCTTTTTTAATTTGCAAGGCATTATCAATCTAATTGGATCTAATAGAAGGCGCTAATCTTTTTATAACATGACAAACTAATAT